TCTCTATGATTCTGTTAATGATGTAACTGTTCACTGAGTTTTTAATTATAGTTAAATGAGAAAACATAGTGTTTAAAAAACATGATGTGTCATCATCACTGTGATACTAGGACACAGTTGATTAGTTATGAACCAGCGGTTCTTACACTTTTCCTAGTAGTAGTCTATTTGGAAAACTACTAAAAGCTCCCATCTAGTCCTATAAGAAACTTAACAGTATCCTAGTCAGCGTTTCTGTTGCTGTGATAAACCACCATGACCAAATGCAAATTGGAGAAGAAAGGAACCAAAGGCAAATTGGAGAGGAAAGGGTTTATTTGGCTTACACTTCCATATCATTGGCACTGAAGGAAGTCGGGACAGGAACTCAAACAGGCCTGGAATCTGATGAAGAGGCCATGGGTGGGATGAGGGCATTTACTGGCTTTTCCCTTGCTCAGCCTGCTTTCTTAAAGAACCCGGAAACACCAGTACAGGGTTGTCCATATGCACAATGGGCTGGGTTCTCCTCCATTGATCACTAATTTAGAAAATGCCCTACAAGCTTATCTAATTATAGCCAACACTAAAGGAGACATTTTTCTCAGTTGAGTTTCCTTCCTTTCAGATGACTATAGCTTGTGTCGAGGTGACATAAAAGTAGCAAGCATACATAGTCTACTTATGTTTGTATTTATCCTCTGCAGGGTCAAGGCAGTCACTGTAGTCTGTTTCCTCACAATCCAAATTTGTTTATTATTTAATTAAAATCTAATCACATCTTCTCTCCCCTGCCTCTTAATTGTTCTACCCCTTTCTTGTTGCTTCTCCCTACCTAGTTCATGGTGGCCTCTTCTTTAATCCATTTTGATATATATATATATATATATATATATATATATATGTGTGTGTGTGTGTGTGTGTGTGTGTAAATGAATCAATATCTAAATACCACCTGCTTTTTCTGTTCAGAATTCCTTAAACATAAAATTGTCTAGGGTTGCATTTCTTGGGTGCTTACATTTTGTAGATAGTCAGCCATGGATGCCCAGTACTTCACATAAGAATATACCACTGGATTTGTTTTTAAAAAAGTAAATTCTGGCAGGCCTGTGTTCTTGCTCACCAGCATCATTCTGAATCACTTAGTTACGTTTCATGACATTTCCTCTTTTCTGCTCTGAACTGCTATTCCAAATTTGTGATGAAAAACAGGAAGTGCTTCCTGTTTACTCAATGTATACTTGATCATATAAGACAGAATTAATTTAACACTTGAAATAAATGTTTTTCTTAGTTTACAAAAGGTTTTGAGTAAATATAATAGAGCAGCTATTGACCAAGGCACACTTTGAATCTCACATATAAAATGCAAGTTTTTTGTGAATATATTATTAAATATAATTATGTTTTTTTAAAAAATACCTCAATAATAAATGAATCATCATTAAATAATCTGTCAAGAAGACATGTATACTACTTAAAATATATTCAAAGTAGTCAAAATTAAATAGTCTGAAACAGGCATTTAGGAAAAATAAAGGAATGATAGTCTCAATTGTGTAAAATTGGAAAGAACTTATGCTAAAAGTGATTTTAGTTTTTCATTCTACTGCTCAGACATTTGCAAACTATGAAGGTTTAGATTGTGGGGGTGTCTAGTCTTTGCTACTTTGATCTAGGTTAAAAAAGCAAGGCTGAATAAACTTGGTTAATTTATCTGAATATACTTTGATCTTGTGAACTGGGCCAAGGCTTTCCTCTCTTTCATTTTGTTCTCTCCTACATATGTGGGAACATAGAAAACAAATTTCAATTTATTCTTAAATTATTTTCTCCTAGCAAAAAAAAAATAGTAAGGCACTGTGTATAAGTACACAATTACTGAATCTTGTTATTTGTCCTTTTCTTCTGAATTCCTAATTTGCATTCAGATTAAATTGTGATGTCCCTTCTGAGATTTTACAAAAAGAGCCAGACATATCTACTATCAAAGGAAAAAAAACTAGCTGAAATATTTTTTAAAGCAAGAAATACAAAGATGTCACTGACAAAGCATGAAGGCGTTTGATTTAGTCACAGTGGACCTTATGGCACAAGACACAGCTACATCATGTCCCCACTGCCACAATAAGCAACAAATAGCAGTCTCCCCTTTTTATGCATTCTTCTTTTACAGTTCAGAGACCTCAAATACAACTGTGCTATCTATAGTAAGTAGGATAGGATAGTTGTAAGAAACAGGAAGATACTAATTGCAAATTGTGTTTTTTAAACTGTCACAAACTGGAATACACTTTTTGCTGCTCACAGAAACACTGCACGGAGGTTTTAGAAAGCACTGTTTTGTTTTGTTTTTCAATTTGGCAGGCTGTGAAAGTTCTTATAGATACAGAAGTCCAACGATGAGCCATTGGTTTGTTTTCTTTGTAATCATGTCTGTAAAAAATCTCAAAATAGCTGCCAGTTTCTGGCTGTCTTTTAACTTCATAGTTTAAGGTGATTTCAAATACTGATGGTAACAGTGGCTATTTGTAATCGATCAGAAATCTTAAACTGTCGAAATTCCAAATAAGTAATCCAGGTCCCTGACACTTAAACTATTCCCTCCTCTTATAAGAGTGTGGTCATACATAATTTTTAATAACTTCTATGAAGTGGGTCAACAAGTATTACATGAAACAGTTTGGTTGTGATAAAAGTTATTGTTTATAAAGTATTAAAGATGACACATGAAACTCAATATCTTAGTTATTTTTCAGTTGCTGTGGTCTGACACCATGACAAAGGCAACTTAGAAAAGTAGTTAATTTAAGGACAGACCACTCCAAAAGATTCGATTCTCTGACCACAATGGCTGGATCATGGCAGCAGACACGCACGCATGGTTCTGAAATAGTAGATGAGAGTTTACATGTAGAGATAATACCCACTATGCAGAAAGAGAGAGAGAGAGAGAGAGAGAGAGAGAGAGAGAGAGAG